TCCCACGCCATGTAATGGCCATGTAATTCTGATAGCTCCGATCTGTTGCTCTGCCAAGTATGTATTACAGTTATTTAGCATCTTTCTTCATCTTGTTGAGAATCAACATGGGTACTCAGTATTAGAATTTTCCATGGTTGCTTATTTTAATAAACTCAATTCAGCTTTAAATTCTTACTTGCTTCTAACCATCCTCCCTCATCTAAATATTCTTGGAGTAGAGATTATTTTTAGACGTAGAATAAACTGTGCAAATCCTATGTAAACTCAAAATTTGTTTTAAATATGTGGTCTCCAAACAATGTAAACTATAATAAAATTAGAGATATAAAATCCAGTAATGAAGGTAAAATGTTACATGTGGCATAAAACATAAATCCAATCTTGATATTCGTCCGCTTAAAAATGTTCAGTAGCAATGAAGTTCATACCCCTTAAAATCACTCTCAAAGTTGTTATCTAGCTCCAGTCTACTATTTCCTGTTTCATCTTTTATCATCCCCCACCCCCCACTCCAACCCACACGCCATTCTGTATTCCAGCCTTGAGAAACTTCATTAAAGTCCCCAGATGGTACATTCTCCTAGCACATTCTCTTACTCTTGTTCTCATTTTGTATTCTCCCCCTCAACACACACACACACACACACACACACACACACACACACACACACACACTTCGACTACCACTCACTACTTTGCCAAATTCGTTCTCATCCTTTCAGGTCTCAGTTGAACTAGTACTTCTTCAGAGCCTTTCCCTGACCCAGCAGTCTCATTTTTCACCCTCTGCCGCCATTCTCTCTTAGCATTCTCCTCCACAACACGTATCACAGTTTGTAATGATACGTTTATCTGTGTCATTACTTGGCGAATATCCATCTTTACCACTAGACTGCAGGCTTAGGAAGGGAGGTAGCATAGCTTATGTTTGCTCACCCTTGGTTAACTAGCATTTAGCACAATGCCTGGTACATAGTAGGACTTCAATACATATTTGTCGAATAAACAAATGAATGAGACCCTAACCTGGAAGTAGACAAAAAAAAATGGTGAGTGTGATCCAGGCCACTTGTTATTCCCACACCTGGTATGTCCCACCTGGGGCGAGCAAAGGCCCTGAAGACCTATGTGATGCAGAAGCTGCAATCTCCACATTTGTCCCTTGTGCGGGCCCATTTCCTTGGCCTTCGCCTGGGCTCCTGTTTTCTGGTTCCATAGGACTCTTCCCAAGGACTGTGGAATGGCGCCCTCTGTCTCCACCCCACAGAAGTTGTGCCAGTCCCCTTCTCTAGGGCCCAACCCCCACCTCTCTTTTCTCTCCGGAAACAATGCTTAATCAAGAACTAAAGGGAAGGAAGAGTTAAAATAAACCAAAAAGCAATCCTAGCAGCCACAGTAAGACTTTTCCAAGACATGTTTATCTTTATGTCTTGGACTTAAACCAGGAGACACTATTTTTGACAATTCTGTGTTGTTTCATAGTGATATACAAAGATTTATATTTCTGTACACTGCCCTCACCCATTCAGTTATGGCAGCTTGCTTTAATAATCAACAGTTTTTGTGCAATGATGTGAATCCTGACAAATCTTACACCTTAAAAACTGCCTTACAAATTGTTTACTGTGTCAACTAGCTTGTTATATTTTGACAGTAGCTTTTCCTTTAGGATTTTAGGCTCCTGTAGGATCTGTTACTAAAATTCAGCTGTCCAGAGTTTCCCAGGGCTTGAATTAGTATGCCGCAGACATCGTGTTGCAACACACATCAAAATATTAATACTAGATTGAACTGTGTTTCAGGGATGTCCCTCTAAATATGGGTACACACAGATATAACCTGTAGAATTGATAATGATGTTAAATATAATAGACTTGGATAAATATAAAGTAGCTTTTATCATATTTTGAAGTGAAAGTTTATTCTATTTAAAAAGAGCCAATCAAAATACAACTAAATCTGTGATCATGTATTTATCGTAAACAAAATGTCATATATAAATATTTTTCTTTCTTTGGTAACATTAACAGTATTTACTCAGTGCTTACTCTGTGCCAGGCATTAATACAAACCTTTTGACCTTTTGCAATGTATTAACTCATGTAATCCCACAACAGCCCTGAGAGGGAAACACAATAATTATTTTCATTGCACAGATGAAAAAAACTGATGCACAAAAAATTCAAGTAATTTGCTCAGAGCTGCACAGGGAGGAAAGGGAAGAACCAACGTTATGTGCTGCCGTCTACCTCCAGAGCCCGTGAGCTTAACCACCCCGCTATCCTCCCACCAATGGATAGACCATGGGTCTCTTTCCAGTCCCAAATCTCCATAGATATTTTATTATATTTTACATTGTGTTGTGTATCCTATTATATACTATGAAGGATAATGCTAGATTTTTACCCTCCCTGGATTTTAATTATTGCTAATAAATAGCTTGGTGTAGTAATATAAGTCAGGTAGCCTGGATTTAGAATTACCACTTACCACTTACATAACCTGGGGAAAGTTCCTTAATCTTTCTGAGCCCATTTGCTATTTTGAAAGATCGGGATCATTCTAGCTGTTGTCAGGAGAAAATAATATGACCATGTATAAATTGTCTGGCACGTGGATAATCAATAGCATACCTTATCCTGAGTGTGTATGTAAGAACACTAGGACATTACATTCATTCTCATGAAAAAGAAGGTCCCATCAATAAATTGCTAATCTGATATTGTAAATCATGTTCTATTTGCTAAAAAGTTTATACAGTTCTTTTAAGAGTCCCAGTCATATCAAGAGATAACAGCATATACAAGAAAACCATATTTTTTCTAGCCTAATCGAAATTTTATGTGCAACTACAAAACATTGCATTAGAAGATGAGTGATCAAATTGACAATTATATGAATGAGCAGCATTTAATAGCCAAACTGGTAGAAGTGTGGACATTTCACAAATTCCGATCTCCATTCGACGGAGCGCTGCTTTCCCAAACGCTCCCATTAGGCCCGTCTGTGTATTTGTGTACACAGGCCCAGATGTGAGCCTTTCTGGGGTCAGCTTCCAAGTGAATGATTGTGACTAAACAGAGTTTGGATTGAGGTTGTCAGAGAGAAGCCTAGGGTGGCTTGGAAATGTGACCAGAAATGTCCTTCTGTTTAGTTTTCCCCCCACCCCTGCTGATGGCTGGTGGTTATGCCCTGTGTCCCATGACCACCTCCCATCATAGGTATTTGGGCACCTGACATACAGGCAAGCCAATCCAGAGACTGGTCACACAGCAGTGTTGATGAGCTGGCCCAATCTGAAAGGTTTTTTGGAGCTTTGATTTTTGCAAACTGAGAGACTCATGCAGTTGTCAAGGGAGGGCAGAAAGGGAGGTAAAATAAGTGATAAGCGAAGTGAACTGGCAGAGCTAGAGAGACCCTGGGATGTCACTAAACACTGAGCAAAGTAAAGTGAGGATAAAAACTTTATCCCAAAGCTTGCAGAGAAAAGTCGATGGAGAGAGAAAGAGAGATCTTCCTAGGCTGCTTTGATTTCGACTATTTTTAATTGTGGTTCCATATAACCTGGATCTTTACAATAGACTTTCCAAGTCTTGACCATAGAAAGCTGAATGAAACATCCACAATGTCAACTTGAGACTAAGGAGACATGCTGACATTGCTCATTGTTACAGAATTTTATTAGCAGAAACGTAACCAATTCCTTCTGATGTTCCCAGTACCCACCTCCAGGCAGAAGGTGACTCAGTTTCTACTGCTGTTAACAGTGGGGCCTCAGAGCAGGACTGGTCGATGTGCACAGACCACCAGGACTAGCCTGGGACATGTCTGCCCTTCTTCAGGAAGATTCGCACTAGAGAGGGAGCCTGTGCTGCCAAAAGTGCAGCTGAAATTAGCGGGAAGCAGAGTGAGAACTCCAGATGTTTAGAATTAGAATGACTATAAACAAATTTGCATTCCCAGATCCAGCAAGCTTGCTTTTTAAAATTATTTTCGTATCTGGTAAACAAACCCATATTCTCTTCTCTTGGTTGCAAATAGACTAATTCTTTAGGGAAAGATAATGCTCATTCTGGTTAATACGGTTTGCTGTTCTTTCTCCAGAAATTCCGTAACTCACACATCGACATGATTCTCTCAGCTGGTAGTTTTGAAACCCTGGGAATTCAGTATGAACACTACCATTTGCAATTACTCTTCATGACTGGTTTTATGAACACCTGTCACCTAATTAATTTTTTTCACTTTGCCAACTTCAATGCCAAGCGTTACCTTAGCTCTTCAGTATGTCATATCATGACATTAAATTTGATACAATTGTCATGGGAGTGGGGCAGGGACATGGGAAAGCAGCTTTTATGTAGCAAACTATTCAATTGCAGGTGATTATCTGAGTTTATCCCTGGAAATTTTACCCGTGCATCTGTGACTAAGAAATGTCCACTCCTATGCTACCATTGCCTCTTCTTCAGTAATTTGAATTGGGGATGTCTTCAGCCACTCTGGAACACACATTTCAAGAAGTTGCTATTCTCATTCCCACTTTGTCATCACTCCAGCATGTACAGACCAACGGATAGCAAGTTCAAAGCCTCCTTTTGATAAGTTACAATAAATATGCTCCTCTGATTGACTTCCACACTGCCTATGAGACGGGTCTGTCTTCACTCTCAACAGTCACATTTCTTTACAGTTTATTATCAGAGATAGACCCCATTAGAAATAACAACAGCAACAAGTCTCAGGAAGCTTCTCTACTCAACAGGTTTGAACAAGATTGATAACCACTCAATTCCTGATTCACTCCTTGTATGTTCCAATTCTGTTGTATATTCCAACATATGCAACACACACACACACACACACACACACACACACACACACACACACACAGGATCCTCACCTTTGTACATATGGAGCGATTGTGAAATGATTCATAATAGAGTTGAAAGCTACTTAAAGTTGGAAATCCTAAACCAAAATTGTTCATTTTACAGGGCCGCTGTTCAAGAGAGAACTGCAAGTATCTTCACCCTCCAACACATTTAAAAACTCAACTAGAAATTAATGGGCGAAACAATTTGATCCAGCAAAAAACTGCAGCAGCAATGCTTGCCCAGCAGATGCAATTTATGTTTCCAGGAACCCCACTTCATCCAGTGGTGAGTACATCACATCTAATGATGGGCTCGATGATTAAAGTGTTGGTACAGGCAATCCCACATTGACCTAAAATGGCCCCCTCTACTTTGTCTCTTTGGCTACAATTAAAGCAAGTAGCTTTGAAACTAAATGGATGTTGGGGAAAATAAAAAAAAGAAAGAAACTAAATGGATGCCAAAAATAGGGGTTTTTTTAAATTATTTAAATGGAACACTGTGTATGGAAACAGTAGGCAAAGATAATTTCTAATCAATATCTGGGATATCTGTGTCACTTCTACTCTTTCTCACTAGTAAACTCTATATTTTAACTGTCTTAGAATGGCAATAGTTCTACTGTACATTTTCATGTATAGTATGAATTGACGATCTATGTGAAGAAGAGTTTTGGGTGCCTAAAACTTTTTTAGCAATGCAGCAGATAGATTATTTAGTACGATGGCATCATTTTAAGAATGAGGAAAGTGAGAAACCAGAGAAGTTAAATGATTTAGCCAGTGTCATGCAGCTAATAAGTTGTGAAGCTGGGACCGAGACTCAGATATCTTGACCAGGGCGTCTGTGCAGTCTGCTCACCCCAGAACCTGACAACCGCCGCAGGAAGGATGCCTTAGCCACCTACGCCTCCTGCCTCTCTGAGGATAGCAAGTGTGTGACAGCTGTGGCAAGGACCGCAAGGTTAAATGTATTGTATGGTGTAGTATTTTCTCCCTAATTTCACAGTATTTCAAAGGATTTCCTTAAAGGTCTGCAAATTGTTTCAGAAATGAGGTCCTTGGGGAAAGGAGTGCATTTGGCTTTAATGGATTTCATTTATATTTTTGAATTATTTGTCAAAAAACAAGCTAATTTTTAAAAAAAACAAAGCCAGTGAAGTGAGTTTAATTTGTTTTTTTTAATACATACACAAAAGACTATTGTTTAAAAATCAGCCTTTATTGTATGAAAAGTCTATGTTATTGAAAACTGCAAATTACAAGGGATAGCTACCAGTGAGTTAAATTTGCTTATTGTGTATTGTGACGAGATTGGGGGGCGGTGGGGGCGCCGCTCAGGAAGACAGGAGATGATCTGGGGAGATTGTTAGCAATCCTGCTTATCTCAAGGTTTCTGCTCAAGAATGGTGGCACAAAGTAGCCAGGAACTAGCTCTGCCCAGAGTAAAAACAATAGTGCTAGGTGCAGAGGTCTCCAAGGTAAATAATATATAGTCTTTTGGGGGTTGACAGACTCATGGAAAGGGCAAGGTAAGAGTCAGGCACTGAGAATTGTGATTTTAGATGAGCGGGGAATGGCTGCTTGGAAGAGGTCCCAAATAACTGCATCTAAAGGATGAGTAGAAGTTAGCCTAGATGTAAGGACAGCACAACAGAGCTCTGAATGCATTTAACACCAAAAATGGGCATTTAAGTGGATCTGTTTACAACCACACACATGTATAATTGATTGTTCTTTTTATTGATGCACAGATATAAATTATTTTATTAAATTACCTAAATGCTAAAATAATTTGGTTATATAATATTAAATAATGTCTATGGAAATAAATTTAGAACTGCTAAGGTCAGCATAGTAACACTGCATTATATCTCTCACTCATTTTAATCATTCACTTCTTAGGTATTTAAAATTCATAAGGATTGACCCTGGTACTCAATACTGGCAACATTAATAAGAAAATTCTATTCCTGTTGTTAATTATTAGCTGAACTTTTTTTAAAAGTTTTGTTTCTGTAGTATCTCAAATAGTAATTAGAAGTGAATCATGATTATGAAAAGGGACTATTAGATTTAAATATTTTAAAAGAGGTTTTAAAATCACAAGAAGTATTAGAATAAAGAGTGTGATAAACTTAAAAATCATCAACTCTACAAACAAATAACTTTGGAGTCTCAGGAGTTAATTAGTGACTAGTACAGTGTGATAGGCCAAATAATGGCCCTCAAAAGTACCTGGAATTGTAAGTGTCACCTTGTAAGGAAACAAGGCCTTTGCAGATGTAAATAAGTTGGGTGTCTTGAGATGAGAATCCTTCTGGGTTAGATGCAGTCATAAGTATACTTATAAGAGAGAGACAGAGGGAGAGTTGACACATACAGGAGAGGAGAAAAGCAATGTGCCCATAGAGGCCAAAACTGGAGTGATGTGGCTACAAGCCAAGGAATGCCAGCAGCCACCAGAAGACGGAAGGGGCAACGAATGAACTCTTCCCTAGAGCTTCCAGAGGGAGTACGGTCTCGCCTACACCATGATTTTGACCCAGTGAAACTGATTTCAGATGTATGACCTCCAGGACTATGGAAGGATAAAAGTGTGTTATTTTACGCCACCAAGTTTGTGGGACTTTGTTAGACCAGCCACAAGAAACCAATACATGCAGAAATTGCTTAAGACAAATAATTAGATAAACATAGAGGAACAAGTACCACTCCATATTTAGGTTTCCTTCTAAACTAAACTTCTCTAAAGAGCGATGGGGATTTTTCTACTCCCTGTCTCCCATCCACCCTGAACCCATTCCACGGAGCTATCTCACCAATGACCTCAATATTGCTAAACAGCTGGTCACTTTTGCCTTCATTGTATTTGTTTGACCTCTTAGCAATATTCAACACATATAATCAGTCTCTCCTTTGTGGAACATAGTCCTTCCTCCTCTGTCTCCATCACCCATCGTGTTTCTCTACTATACGTGAAGGCTGTTATATACGTTGAGGTTCCCAGCACTGGACATGTCTCTCATCTTCCCTCTCCTTGCTTGTCTCACCCATTCCTATAAATCACCTACAGGCCAAGAACTCCCAAATGTATGTTTCCAGTCCAAACCTCTCCTCTGGGCCCCAGGCTCATATAGCCAACTTCCTGTTAGACTCACCTTTAAATTTCTCACAGGAGCTCGACATGTTCAAGACTGAATTCTTTATTCCACTACATTCCCAGTTCAGTAAACGCAACCAGCAGTTTTAAACCAAACCGAAGCCGACTCTGTCATGCACACTTTCTCACATCCAATTCATCAGTAACTGACATATGAGTATCTGCCTTCAAGTCCATCTGCTTCTCTACCTCCTGGCACCCTCGTCTGAGCTACCATCAACCTTTTGTTCAAAGTACTTTACAAGCATTTCCTTTCTAATCTCTCAATTTTCACTCTTGCTTTATTCCAATGTTTCCTGCATACAGCAACCACAAGAATCTTTTTAACACATACATGGCATTACATTGTTCCCTTACTTGGAAACTTTCAATGCTTTCCTGTTTCTCTGGAGACAAAGCTTAAACATGTAACTTTGACTATCATCTATAGTGCTGTCTGTGATCTGGTTCCCACCCAGCTCACCAACTTATCATGACCCTCTCACTCACTCTTCCTGTATCCACTGAGGCCAAACCAAACTTTCACACACAAAGCTCTTGCTTGCCTCATCGGTTTGCTCTTGCTGGAAATATCCTGTTACCCTTCACATGTTAACTTCGTCTCCATAAGGACTACAGATCTGTCCCCTGTGGTTTGCTACCAGTCCACATCGCTATCAGTTTAGGCCTCCTCGTTTCTACTTAGCCACAAAAATGAATTGTAATTTTGCTTGTTCTTGCCCATTAGGATTTAAGTTCAATAAATGTATACACAGTGTTCTGGCACCATGTCTATACCAATAAATATTTATTGAATGGGCGAAAATGTAAATCATTCTTTCCTCTTATAACTCTTCTGTCTCAAAGTCACTATTTTTGAAAATTCCCCTTTACCTTGTTCCTCCTAGTAGCTTTTCTATCCCTATTTCCTGAAAGGATGTACCAGTAATTCTTTTCCTTTCCTTCCCAACATGCTGCCCCCCTCCCCCCAAACCCCACTGCACACACACAACCTTCACAGTTTCACTCAAGATGAAGAAGCAGGTGGGTAGCCTTTTTAGTAGGATATTTAAGAGCCTATACAAATCCAGTCCTTGGGGACAAGGTCTTACATTGAATATTCTGCCCTCCAGAGATGCTTCTGGGAGTAAAGCGAAGAGGCTTAAGGGATGCCATGTTTTAAGCCTTTCAATTTGAGTACCAAATACCTACCCTTTGAAGTCAAAGCTTTCTAAATGAATGAACTCTCATGCTCTTGTTTTAAAAAGTCAATTGATGAAATTTTAGAGTCATAAATATTCCAGGCCACTTAGTCATTACTCCTCAGCTCCAGCCTTTCCTTATCACTACAAAATATCAGAGAATACATACACGTGCATGCGTTCTTAGAACCTGGATCTACTGATGTAACGAAAGAAGAATGGAGAGTGAGAAACTGGGGAGAGAAACATAGAAACGTGAAGCACAGAGAGAAGAAACAGCAAGACCAGCATTTCGGAAGCGATTTTCTTCCAGAAGACTTTCTGTGGCTCTTGCCCTTTGGCCTCTCTAGCTGCAGTTAGTGCTGAGAGACAAGGAGGACCAAATGAATCCCACATCAGCTAGCCTGGCAACAGCCCTTCTGCGTAAACCATGGGGCCAGTTGTCCCAAGCTCTAGCTGGTATGCTTCCAGGAACAGAATCATTCGTAGGTGCTGCCCTTCCCTTTTCCCAGCTGCACGCTAAGAACCCAGTTGAGACACCAGGATATGGTATCAGCCTAGGCTCTGCCTTGGGACTTTAACTTGAATGCAGGATCTGAGAACTATTTTCCTGAGGCAGCAGCACCCCATCCAGCTTTCAGAGCAGCCCTGCACCTCTCATCTGTAAAAGGCCCCTGATGACTGTGGGACACAGCTCCTTGCCAATGCTCTCTCTTTACGCTCCAAAATATAAGGGCAGCTGGTGTTTTTTCCTTCTTCTGTTTTAAGAAATTACTAACAAAATCGAGTGAGTGCAGAGGAGTGGAAATAACCTCGGACTAGGAGCCGGGAGTCCTGGGTTTTTTGTCCTGACTCTGCCTCCGCAGCAGTGACCTTGGGTAATCCATTTAGTCTCTACTTTAAATTACTTTCACCTGTAAGACTGTGCCGTTCCATTCCCACTGCCACACTTGCTTCTCGTGGATATTGACAAAATTAAAGAAGACAAATGTGTGTGAAAATACTTTGAGAAGAGCCGAAACTTGCACAGATGTAAGGAATTACTGTTAATAATAATAATAATAACAATAACAACAAGGAGAGGAGCCCATCTCTGAAAATTACCATGACTACATTTTTTACCAATTAACTTCAATAAAAAATACTCTATAGAGAAAACATCCAATTAAATCTATCTGTATAAGGCCTATGAACTTTTAGGTTTTAGTTTCATATGAAAGAAAAAATATATTTTCCCAGCCCATGTTTCAAAAAAGAGAAGATATTTGCTATATTTAATAAGATTTTATACCTCTGTTACTATATTGCTATGCTTATTAGATTCGTGTTATAGAATCAATGGATAATTTCTGGAGGGAAAACTTTATTAATATTAATTTTTATACTACTAATGACAGCTATTTGCTGAGTTCTGACCATGGGAAGTTAGAGAGAAATAACAGCTAGTTCATCCTGACTCGTTAAGCTAAGTACTTTTTACTTCCCTTCTACAGATGAGGAAACTAAAGCTCAGGGAGGTTAATTTCCTGCCCAGGATAAAAATTAATAACTGGGAGAGTTCTGGATTTGAATTCAGGTCTCTCTTAGTCTAAAATTTGTGTTTTAAATAATAGTCTCTGTAAACTATGTTACAGCTATCATCAATAAAACAAAAAAGTACTCATTTTAAATCATTGAATTAGAAGAACAAGTAACATATTTTGGAAAGCAAAATTTTGCTAATTGCAGTAAATTTGTTGATATCCAAAAAGGTGTTGGGAAATGTGTTTTGAGGCTCTGATATTCTTTTTGACAGTCAAGGTACAGCCTGTATTTGTATCACCATATTGACCTTGGCTTCAAATGATCCACAGGACAGAAGTTTGGGAATTTGCTTCCATAAAAAGTCAAAAATGAAGGTTTTCTCTAAATGTTTTTGTTGATAAATAGTCTCTGGGTGAAATTGCACATTTGTACCAGTATTTTTAATACTGATTTTAACTCCTTATCTATGACAGTTGTCCCCAAACTAGGCCACACATAAGATGATGTAGTAAATTTTTTTAAGCGCGAATTTCAAGGCCCCTGCCTAGACCTATCGAGTCAGAACTTGTGATATTTCTATTTATGAAATTCCCCTCCCCCAGGCTTTTCTGATATAGCTGGTTCTTTGAATCACTGATCTGTTGTGATTTATGACCTTTCAGAATTGATTATTTTTAACCCTAACATTATATAGTCCTTATACCATTTAAATCACTTGGCTGTTTTTCAATAGTACTAAATAATGAAATCTATAGTTACTGAAAACCACAACTTTCTATAATTATGACTCAAATGGGTTGAAAATGGAAAACATACACATATAAAATTTTGTAGAAAGTCAAGGAAAAAAAAAATTCTAACAGCCAGCTATTTCCCATGTTGAGACCTCATGTTGCAACTTTCTTCCAAAATGAGTTTTATGCCTGAGCCGTAAAGATCTAAGAGCCCCTCATGGGGGTACTGTAGCAGCAAGCCCTCTAAGATCATAAGAATCACCTCTTTCAGCCCCCAGCCACTTCAGTAAAGACTTTCAGCTTCTCCAAGAACTCTCTGCACAAACTATCAATAATTCACTGTTTTCTAACATGATTATTTGTAAGAGATCTTTTACTGTTATTGCTGTCAACAAAAAACTTGTTTAATAAACATAGATTGTTATTTTTCCCATATGTTTAACAACTCATTCAGAGCCATAAGTAAACAAGAATGTTACCCACAATGTATATAAATAGAGAAGTAGCATAGTTCCACATTTTAAAATTGCGTAAACGTCATTGCAACTACTGAAAACTGGTCCTAAAAATAAATAGGTTAAAAGTCATCCAATAATTAGAAAACAAACAAACAAGTCTAATTTGGTATAAAATTTATTCTAAGAAAAACCTTTAGTATCTTAAACTTTTAACATTATTTCTTTAAAAGTGAAGCAAAGTTTGTTGTTCTCTTAAATGCACATTATTTCCTTTCTGAAAGGCATATTTCTAGGTGGAGCTTTTAAAAATAATCATCCCATCAGCCCTCTAGCATATTTCTTCTTATCCCTGGAGAGGGAGTGTAGTGATAGAGAACTTTAATAAGGTACTGTGTGCTTTCATCACTGCTGCGTTGATTTTGTGACCCAGGAAACCAAACCACCTTATAACAGCCAATTGAAAATTTGGCCCATTGAAAAATTCAAGCTCTTCCATCCAGCCTTTCAGGAAGGGACAGCTGATCTAGACATACTTAACTAGAGCAAGAAATAGAAGGGCTATAGGAAAACTGCATATGGATGCTGGGAACATACACGCTAGTGATAGAATACAGAACCATACCAGTAAGTCTCAGCAAAATAAAATTCCAAGAAATACCCACATTTTGAGAAAGTATAAACGTGGTCAAGTTGAAAACCGGGCTATAATCAAGGTTTTTCTTTATTCTTCTCCCTTTGAGAGACATGAATCAAAGGAAGAATCAAAGATTATGAGTCAGTATTCCATAGGTTTTACTATTGGCTTGTCGGAAAAGTCATGATGTATTTTTTCTATGTTTTTCGTTGCAAAAATGTGTCATGACTTTTCTGACAACCCAATACTTTAGTGTTATACAGTAGTTTGGAATGCTGTGCAATTAAAGTGAAAATTATTTTCTTTTCCCCGGAAAACTTTCATAGAAATAAAGTTTAATCTTTCCCTGTAATTAAGTTTCTGTGATGTTTTGCATGTTGTGGTATGGGTTGGGGAAGAGAGGACCTATATGGATTTTATTTTTATTAAGCAAAACAGAACAGGGAAGGTTAATGAACTTTCATAGTTCAGTATTGATTTATACAACTAACACAGAGTCTTGTATACGATGAATAAATTTTGCTCAAATGACACTTGCTGGTGATTTTTAAAAGTTTTATTCTAAAGATATCTTTGTCCTGTGTTGTCTTCCTTTAACAGCCCACTTTTCCTGTAGGTCCCGCTATAGGGACAAATACGGCAATTAGCTTTGCTCCTTACTTAACACCTGTAACCCCTGGAGTTGGGTTAGTCCCAACGGAAATTCTACCCACCACACCTGTTATTGTTCCCGGAAGTCCACCTGTCACTGTCCCGGGCTCAACTACAACTCAGAAACTTCTCAGGACTGACAAACTGGAGGTACTTCAATTATGTTTGTGGTTTAAAATGCATTTGTGGTAAACGTGTATTTCTATGTAAGTGAATGCTTGTAAGATATTACACACATTTAAATCTAAAGGCCATGCATTCATGATTCATTGAATTGAATCTAAGACCAAGTATAAAGGAAATTACCTGTGGGAAAAGAATACATTTAATACAAACAAAAATCAGGGGCAAAATGTTAACAACCTACGGAACGCTGAATCAATCAGTGTGTGGGCCATAGTGATGGCTCTGGAAGGCCTCCAGTGGTGCCAGGCATTAATCTTTGCTGGATCCTGGAAATGTCTGGGAAGGGGCAAGTCAGGAGCCCAGCTGCCAGGGCAGTGGGGGACATTCAGGGGCAGGGTGGGAGTAAGTAGGACTATGACTACTGACCAACTGGTATGATCATATTTCAATATTTTAAGAACTAGTATGGCTGCTCTACAATGTTCCAGAATATCAGCCCTAATGGTGTTGTTGGTAAACGGGGGGAATTGGAAGCTGGGCAAATTTATTGATTGAGATCATTTCTTTCACTTAAATTCAAGTGTTCTATAAAAATCAAGAAAACAAGTATATGTATTTATAAAACATAATTCTTAAGTCACAAGTCAAGTCAACCCATCTGTACTTTACTGGGTAAAATATCCCTTTAATCAAAGTTAGAGGGTTCATCCATTTCTCTTAACTACTATATTCTGTGATATTTAATAGAGCCTTTTATATGGGTGTGTAAGGATTTTAATAGATTTTTTTCAAAGAGCCCCTTTAATTCCACTACCAAATAAAGTTGTTAGGTAATATATGTAGGGTGAGGATGTACACTGAGCTTTATGTTGGATCCTTCTAGAATGTTCTTTCAAATATGCATTTGTTTAAATATTTACCCAGTAAATCCTGAGGGCAATAAAACATTGCTGCCTAATATCAGCTTCAGTCCAGAGTATGTGGACCTCAAAATGAAAACACTGTAAACTAATCACTACTGTTTTGATCTAGCCTATCCGTATGAATGTTGAACAGGCCTTTCATGGGACTAGAAAAGTGTTTGGGGCTCCACCTGCTGGACCCATGGAGCTTTAGTGATTAGTGTGTGACTGTGATTTAGAAAACAAATTAAATCAGCTGCGTTGGGAACAAATCGTCCTTCCCGACAGGACTGGTGGACAAAGACATCTGTAAAAATGATTCACAATGACTTAAGCAAAGCAGCTTTCAATTCATTTCAAGTCAGGAATGAAGTCGGCTGCCCACAGAGCCCCTTGGTAGATGCTTAATGGATGGTCTACACCTCTGATGCAGTCTCAGATTGAAGTCATTCCATTTATAGAGGAAGGCTTACTCACAATTTGCTGGAACATCTTAGTAATTTTTATTTTGTACATTTCATCAACTAAAGATAGCATGTTGGCTAATATTCAAAATAAGAAGAAACAATTAACAATTTGGTGATTTATCCATTTACCCTTCAAACTTTCCCAAATAGTTTTGACTTTCACAAGGCTTGAGTGTCATGTCAGTGACCCTTCATGTAACGTCACTGGTGACCGAGGTGTGAACCACCACTTAACTATATCGACTTTGGCATTGGAGCCTAAAAAGAAAATAACTTAATATTTTTTCTAGTAATTCTTCCCTGCTAATGATATTTATAAATATAAGTATTATGTATATATGTCATTCAAGTTATTCCATGTTATCAATATTCAGGGCAGAATTAAGAATACTCTTTAAATTTTAAAGAAAACTTTCTTTATACAGGAAGCTCTTGATCCATCAGCATTCTCAGACCAAGAAGCATTCTATTTACTTGAGATTTCAGGATAACTAAGGATTAAGTAATAAAAAAGAAACAGTGACACGCCAACTCTTCAAACTCTATTCTATTTTCTTCCATTTATTTCTTTATCTCTTCCCTTATTTCTCTCCTTTTTATCTTTTCTTTATATTTTTATCTTTTGTGTGTGTGCTGTCAAAAATAATAATATAGAGACCTTAAATGAAAGTTTTGGTGTGATAGATATTGTAGTTCTTCTGATTTATTATGCTACGCATTAAGTTATGTTTGTAGAGCAGGGGAGACCTAGAGACCTAAATTGAACCCACTCCCATTTTGTATCCTCAGAGAGGAGGAACAAGTTTGTCATGTCCCCTGATTCTTTTTGGAGTTGTACAGCTATGACCTGGTGGCTTAAACTATGGTGAAATGATCCCTCCATGCAAAAAACCTACAGCATCCCAGAACTGTCAGGGTAAAAGATGTGCATATACATTGCTTTCCAAATTATATATATTTTTATTTATATATATATATATATAAAATCTCCAAATTATAATATATATTATATATATGTATGTACATATATGTGTGTATGTATGTATATATATCCCAGAGACAGTGGAGGCCTTGTTGATCTTTCTTTGTTACTTTAGCTAAACTGCAGATTTGGACTTATTTTCTCATTATAGAGTCTCACCCCCAAAAAGAGGGAGAAGCAAAACTCAAAATAGTGTTTGTCAGATATTCTGGTTACTTGAGTTCTGAATAATCAAATTTTTATTGTAAATGACACAAAAGCCAACATTAAAAGAAAAAAGGGGGAAAAAAGCATTTGTTGAAAATAAACAAAAAACATAAATGGCTGCGCTTGCAGAGGTCGAGTTTTCGGCGGCCATCAGGCTTTCTTCTGCATTGTCTGCTCTTGTTCCCTGTGTGTCCTAGGTATGCAGGGAGTTCCAGAGAGGCAACTGTGCCCGGGGAGAGACCGACTGCCGCTTTGCACACCCCGCAGACAGCACCATGATCGACACAAATGACAACACCGTAACCGTTTGTATGGATTACATAAAGGGGCGTTGCATGAGGGAGAAATGCAAATATTTTCACCCTCCTGCACACTTGCAGGCCAAAATCAAAGCTGCGCAGCACCAAGCCAACCAAGCCGCGGTGGCCGCCCAGGCAGCCGCGGCCGCGGCCACAGTCATGGTAAGTGGGGCACGCCCGCCGCGCACCTTCCTCCGCTCCGGGGGCCCCGGAGTTCCGCCGGGCGCGGAGGCGGCGGCTCCCAACCGCTGAGATTTAGACGCTCTCCCAAACAGTTGAGAAATAGGGAAGGCTGCTATTCCTGCTGCTCCGCTGCCTAAGTTCTGTTGTTGTTTTCCCCTTTTTTGTTTTGTTTTCGCCCTCCTTCCCTTCTTCAGCACAATAAGTAAATCCCTCAGGCACAGGAAACCAAAGGTCATGTGCTGGCGCCCTTCCCCAGGTCCGGTTCTGCTCTGAGACTGGACTGTAACCCGCGTGGGTTCTTCCTCAGAGCCGAGCTCAGGGGGCCTAGTAATGAGCAGGAAGGTGCGCACCAGAGCTCAAAAGAATGGAAAATAAAGCTGGAGTACTGCACCTGAGCAATACTCGCAGACAGCAGCCCTCCAGAGAGCAGCCCTTGGAGGAGAAAAGCGAGCAACAGGTGATCAGTGACTGGCTCTTCCCTAGTCCTATTTTTGTTTTCCTGTCTTCTTTTACTTATCACCAGGGCGATGCTTCAAACTTTCTCTCTCAAAATGAAATTTTATGCAGAACATCAAGTCATGAAACATGAAAATAGAGCTATACTGGCTGGTGTTAAAAGAAAAAAAAAAAAAAAAGCCTGTAACCCAGCTTCCAGTGCCTGTGTCATTGTACTGTCCCTTAGAAGCCAGCAGCAGCCACATCATCATCACTTGAGAGCCTGTCACAGGTCCAGACTTGCAAGGACCCACCCCAGACCTTTGGAATTAGAATTCAAATTCTAAAATATCCCCAGATGTTTTGTATGCATATTAACATTTGAGAAGCAGCTGCCTAGAACACCATTTCTCAGATGTGGCTCTGTTTTGAAATTACCTGAAGGACTTTGAAAGGCTCTAACATTGGTCCCTTCCCTCAAAGTTTCTTATTTAACTGGTCTGGGTGTGGCCTGGGCAGTGGCCTTTATTTTTTGAAGCTGATTCCAATATGCAACGATGTTTGAGAACAACTGCACTAAGTCGTAGAAGTTTCTAATTAATTTGTTTTAATGTGAGCTCTCTGGCTTATCAGAAGTCTATTTGAATATATGATAGGCACTGTACATTCATTCATTTATTCAAAGCATTTAATGAGCATTGCCATGCATCTACCACTTTCTCGGTATAATAAATAAATTGGGCAGGCTTCCATGCCTTTGAGGCACATGAAGTTTAGTAAGTAAGAGTAACAGTGCTCCTCAGTGACATGATGGAAATGTATACTAGGGTCTGGGGCGGGGGAGGGGCATGGGAGACTCAGTGGCCAGCCCTCCCTTGGAAAAGACAGATAAGGCTTTCAAGATGAAAGGTAGACTTGAAAACGTTATGTTCAAACTAGTGACCGCCAATGTATGTTCATACATTGATAAGTGATCAAAACACAAGGATAGCCATTATACAAACAAGTTCATATTATTCAACATTCTTTCCACAAATGTTTATAAAGGCCTGGCCCGGTGATAAGCGACAGGGATACAGAGGACAAAGCCCAGAGCCTGCCCTTACGCGATCGCCACTTAGTATGGTGTGTGTCGTAACACATACCTTTCCAACTGAGCTGATGCCCAAGCATCTTCAGCACTGGGTCCTTCATCTCTCTCACTGTTGCTTCTCAGAGTCCCTGTCCCTTCAGTGCTCTTGCCTCATGTTCTTTTCATTCTTATGTCACCGGACATAACAGTGATTTTGAATGTGTGAGTTTCTATATACGTGGGGATGTATGCATCCAACATAAGAAAGTGGGTCAATATAGAGAAATTCTCCTTTTTTGATTCCAGTAAAAGAATGGCTTTCAAAACTGATGATAATTGGGAATGGGATGGGGTGAGGTGAAGGGGAGATGAGAGTAAATTGGTTACTTAATGCTGGTGGAGACAGAATTCTTTTAGAGAGCAAATGAGGTCTTCTATACATTCCTCTGGTGTGGACTCCATCTTACCAGCCACTTAGTGAAGATCTCATCCTATGAGAAGTAATTTTTCTTCATTGTAATGATTCTTTAAGCCAGCCCTAATTTATCCTAACTAGTATGAGGATTGCTGGGCACAAAGAACACATTTTTCCATTGACCTCATAAATCATCACTAGGTATCAAGGATATCCCCAAGGCTAGTCAGGACTCAGGTTGCAAGAGACAAAAACCCAACTGAAGTCATTTAAATAAACGAGTTGGACTTGACTAGATCATGTAGTGTCCTCCAAAGAGAGTAGAGGTAAAATAGGGCTCAGGGGAGCCTGGCTCCAGAAACTTGAAAGCCAGTGGGCAACTCTCTTTGTTCTCTTTTCTGCTGCTTTTGGTATATCAGCTCCGTTCTCCAAGACCAGCTTCTCCATACAACACTGACCATGGCTTTGGAGACCTATCAGGACACATTCTTACATCTTTGAAGGAACAATGCACCTACTATATGTCAATTTTAGACGACCTGGGTTGATGGGGATGGGAAGAGATGGCCATGTACACAAACAGCTCATTCTTCAGCCTGATATCTTTAAATCAAGAACCGTCCTCTCCTCTGAGCCGTTCTGTGCATTTTCACATCATCCTCAGCAAGCGGCATGGAGGTTACTGCAGTGGATGTCAGTATGTGTAGTTACCATAGTTTCCTGGATTGTTACACTGTGCCCAAATTTGGAGTTCTGATATTTCAGGGGATCTTGCAGCATCGTCAAAGACAACCCGAAGGAATGCAGTTTCAGAACAAAAGCCAGCTTCTTTCTGACAATGACATGAAAATTACTGAATCTGTCATGTCTTTTTAATTGAAGTGAGAGGCTCATCTGAAACCAGCCTAGGTGCACTTGAATAAAGTCAAAGTATTCTTACTCGAGTAGCACGATTCTTCAGGACTGAAGAAAAACTATTTATTTTATTTCATTATTTAAAAGAACAAATGGAGTAATGATCGCAGTCAGAGATATTAATATCCCATTCACCTGCGTTTCACATCTGAACACAAAAAATTTCCATAGTGCAATTTTTATTATTGTCCAGGGATTTCCCCTTCTTTTGAGTAATTGGACCCTGAAAATGAATTTAAAGCTTTCATTCCAGAAAAAGAGACATTTATTTCCTTTAGAGCCTTACTTTTTTTTTTTTTACAATACCTCTTAAAGCATAAGCATCATCTTCACCAGAATTTTTAAAACGTGAAAATAAGCCAGACAGAGCTTCTCTTGGGTAATTTTAACACAAAGCGTATGCCATCTTAAATCAAGCAGTCTTTTTCTTCACACAGACAAAAATGGAGCTATACAAGGAGATACCTACCTATTTTGTACAACATGTACAGGAACTTTAAATCCCATCCTACTTGTCCACATCCTTTTCTCCCACGTTAAAGTGAAGGCTCAGATTATTGTTGTCAGGGTTTCCTGACTCCTCAGATGTGGTCTTTGCCTGTAACACCTGGCATGGACTCTTGGTTTGCTTGTCTCAACCCACTGTTGGATGGTTCCTTGATCCAGAAAAACCCGGCTGTATGCATGCAAGCTAGAGAAGGCCCAGAAGGGGCAGAGGATGAAAAATGTTGGTACGGCTAGCAACATTGAATGCCAAGTGTCTGGCACATAGTAGGAGCTCAATTAAAGAGAACCTCTTTCTCTGCATAGGTGCCTAAAGAAGTGCCCAAGATACACTGGGCTTGGTGATCTCTAAACTCTGTTCTAAGCCTGAAGCTCTTTCACTATAGGTAAACGTAGGCCAGCAGTCACATAATAACCTCTAAAGCAGAACATTTGTGTACTACAACTCTGTCTTATAAGACAATTATTCTTCCATACAGATTTTTTAATACATTCTAATCTACATGTGCCTCGAAGTGTGAGGTGTGTGAGATATTAATATGTATGCTCAACCCTCCAAGACCTTAGTGGTTCCTTCAAAAGACAAGATATTTGCACCGAGTAAAGGATAACCCACAACGTGGAGTGGTAGAAAGGGGGATGCTGTCACTGTCCAGTCAGTTTAGAGCTCTCAGTTTCTTTACATTCCTAGATTATTATAATTTCTATGAAAATTAAGTTTCAGAAAACTAAGATCAGAAAAAAGAGAACATTAACCTTCCAGCTGATTATCCTCAGGAGAAATATTTCATATTTCTTTTTCTACTTGGAGACTTCATTAAATGATCCTTTGTTAAATCAAAAATTTGCTCATAAATACCAGCGTTTGGAGACATAATTACTCTTCTAGTTAGCATATCAGAAAAGATCAACCCCATAGTAGATTTGTTCTGTCGCTCCCAAGGACTGCAAAAGTGAAGGGAAGAATGGAGGCCAAAATAATTTGGCATTCAACCATCCAATTCATGTTCTCAGTGCACTCTATGAGTTCAGGCTATGTGGCCATACATTAATTTAAACTAAAGAAAATGCATTATTTAGCAATATAAAACTATACAGGAATGAAAGATTTTAAATGAAAGCGGTGTCATGGAAGTTACATTATGGCCGACTTGCATTTGAGAAAAGAACCACCAGTATAAAGAAGCTTTCTTATGGAGCTTGCTGGTTTATAAAAATGTTCACAATTCTAGTTTCAGAACAATGATTTCATAGTACTTGATAGCCTCTGTCAAGACTGCCGAACAAAAGATTTTCTCCGTTGGCCACTCATAATCTCTTCTCACCTATAGTTCTTTTCCACTTTATTTCTAGTCCTCCCCCCCACCCCACCCCACAGCTCTTCTACAGAATGATCTATCATTTCTATACTTTTAATCCTGACTCATCAAATGATGACGAACAACGCTTTATTTCCTAAGGAAAATATAATTTATTGTTTTCCATTTTGAGGGCTTAGTACTATTCCCATTTTATTTCAAATGCCATAGTTTTCATTCAGAACTTCAGAATATAACATTTTGCATTTATTATATAAACCTTAGGGGTTTACATATTGTGCTAAACATAAAGAGGGTATTTCATTTTTTATTTGCATTGGAGCTATTCCTTCAAATTTCTTTATTTTCACAGAATTTCATCATAGAAATTTTAGATCTTTTACATAGGAAAATTTTTCCATTGGTCTAAATCAATCAATATTTGTTATTATTTCAGCTGTTTAAATGAAACTACCAGTCCAAAAAGTATGATTATAAGTTAAAGATATTATTTTACTTCTAATATTTCAAGAAGTTCTTTGCTATTTTTTAGTTGTTTGCTATTTTTAGCTATTGTATTTATTCAAGTCAAGAGTTCCACATCTCATTAACTGGGTTGGTCACTGATCATAGATAGCTCAAAGTACAAGTAGAATTATTAAATATAAATTATTTTGATACCTGAGGACACTAAATACCTTTCAAAAGGGTATTTTCTTAGTGTAATCCGGTAAGTTGTTGAGATAAATTGAATTATAATTTCAAATGTACTGGAAAACATAGAATGGATGATAAGTTAGTCATTAGAAACAGTACGATGGAATAAAAGTGGGAAATTGGAGAAACTTAGTATTCAAATTAAAAACTTGTTAGGTTTGGAAACTTATTCCACATTGCCAGATCCATGCTAGCAGAGTGAAGAGAAAAATTGAGACAATTATCCACGATTCAGACAAAAAATTAAGATCCAAACCCAAACAGTTTTGCCTAAGTAATCTTGTGTTTGAATATTTTTTTGCCTGAATTTTTTGTCTCAGTTTGCCGCTTCATTTTGTTAGGCTAGATCTTCATTAAAAATTATTTTTATACAAGTTAAAGATATTATCTTTTTTTTTACTTGGATATTATATACTTAGTTCACTGATTATTTTATATTTGAAAACTAACTTATCAGAAGTTCTTCAATCCTATGGCCCTCAAAAGTTTTCCATTTTTTTCTGAAGCAATATAAAAAATGCTTATGGTGTGTATGCAAGCTGCTGTTTTAATTAACTTTCCTGAATTTCAAACATCTATATTTTACTCTCTTATATGCTTTTAACTAAGGTATAGTAGATGCATTTTTGCTTCAATACTAATTTAAGGTGTAATATTCATTTCTTTAGAGAACATTTTTGTTGTTGTGCATGCCTAGTGTTTTGTACGTTGTATATTGCATTCAGAATATTTTTTTCCTTCTCACCTATCCACAATGCAATGCCGTTCCCATGATGCACCTCTGCTTGCTGTTTACCTGTATGTTAATTCGCTTGAATCCCATTGGCCCACTGCCATCATGTGCTCGCTGCCTGTTATTAAAAGACTCAGTCGACTGCCAAAGCAATGAAGCGACCTCTCGAAGCATCTGTAGACCTGGTACTTTGACCTTTCACCTTTCGCTTTGCATGTAGCTTTTCAGAGAACCATCTGAGATATGTATTACTTGTAAAATATTGGTTGCAAACAATTATTATTATTAAGTAATAAAAAAATTCAATAAGGTGTTTAGCCATCTCATTTTCATATATAATATGTGAAATAAATTAATCCTAACAAATTTTAATACCTTTTCCAAAAGAGTGAAGCAAATTTAAATTACTTGGCTCAGAAAATGCTCATTATAATTCTTATTAACCTTTAAATTCAAGAAATAGTCATTTAGTTAAAGAAAATAATAGGTATTAGTAATAACACAAATGCTTCTTTTCCCCCTTAGAATAGTTTTACTCATTTTAAAAGCTGAAGCCATTTTTTTGTTGTTGTTGCTTGATAGTTTTTCTTTTCCTTAGTTGAGATGCTACCATTTTGATTATAGAAATCATGCTTTCGCTCTCAATAACAAATTCTCACTCATTCGACATTGCCGCTGTTTAAAATAAGGTGCATGGCAGAGGCATCTCCTTAGCTGTCATTTTTAAAAGAATGTTGCAATTGATGATCTCTGTGGACACTGAAGGTGTGTTTACTTTGAGTTATACATATCGTATCCAATTCTTCACTTACAGGCCTTTCCACCTGGTGCTCTTCATCCTTTACCAAAGAGACAAGCACTTGAAAAAAGCAACGGTGCCAGCACGGTCTTTAATCCCAGCGTCTTGCACTACCAGCAGGCTCTAACCAGTGCACAGCTGCAGCAGCACACAGCGTTTATTCCAACAGGTATGTGCCCTGACAGTTCGAAGTCCGTGTCTGTGTGCCCTTCCAGTCATGTGCTTTCTTCTCATTCCTTTAAGCTGTTTGGTGGCATCTAGTTTGCTTTCAAAGGTACAATAAATATAGCCTGAAACTCATTGTCCTAGCTATCTAGATATATATATGTACCTTGCTTGGAATGATAGCTAAAGACTGTTAGGATTCTAAAGCCAAATATTTTATAGCATTAAGGGACCGCTTGAACCTATGAGAAGCAAACAGCAGTTAGGTCTTTTGGTTTCTTATATTTACACATGCTGTGTAAAATTCTTTATGTAAATAAGTCCTTTTATGTGTGACAATTGAAATTTGTCATTAACCGTGTATGACCTAAAAATAGCAATTCCCATAAATACTAACCTTTTTTTTCTATTCTTATTCAGAGCACTAAAAAAGTGAGGCTATTCAAATTAAAGCAATCTTCAACTCATATTTTTACATTCATTCTATCTCTGTTGCCATCCTTCTCAACTTCCACCAAGTTCACACATATAGCGAGCTCGTATCCTTGGTTTCTAAGTCAATGTCTGATAATATCAGTTACTAAGGTGTATTAACTCTCTCATTCCACTAAGAGATAAATTATGTTAATCATATAATCTTGAAGTTTAAAGGATTCTTAGTGATCTCCTCATCCAGTTGATTGTTTTACAGATGAGAAAACTGAGGCCCCCTAAATGTGAAGTAACTTCCCAAGGTGGCACAACTAATGAGAAAAACACCCAGAACCTAGTTTCCCTGTGACCACTCTAATTTGTATGACATGACACAACCCGGGCCTCCATATGTGGAGGCCACAGAGCTCTTCTTTAGAGCTTGGCATAAAACATCAAATAAAAAGTGAAAACAAAGTACAATTCATTTTAACCCTCCTCCGTTTCTTACCCACCTCCCTGACCATAGACCTACATACACCGTGTACAGACACAAGGAGTCACCATAAATTGACTGTGGTCTTCACCTTTAGTCCGTGTTAGAAACAGATAATATTCTCAAAATAAACAAAATTTGCTAGAGTGTCAGAAAAATGCAAGAGAACCAGAAAGTAACTTAGGCCTTAGTGAGAACACTGTCCATTGTATTCTTAGTTTCAAAGTCAAAATTTTCATCCCAGGATAGTGACTTAAAGGTAAATATAGATGAATAATTATTTTTATCATAAAGAGCTTATTGATCCTAATTCACATGGTTGTACTTTTTTGGGTTTGTTATCCATTTCCTTAATCTCATAGCATATTAGGAGTAAACATAGGAGGGAGTTGAATAAATATTTCTATGGTATTCTTTGTCTGAAATCTATACTTTGAAATGAATTATTAACCTGTTAACAATATTTATTATAGTAAAAATATAAATTACATGAGTAAAATGGCTCTTAGTATTTAGTTTTCCTGTTTTAGTTCTGCTGTACTCTTAAAATAGACTCATAGACCTGTAAAGTCAATCTCTAAGTCAGTACTTATTGGGGCTTCACTGTTGTCCTGTTACAACCTTAATTAGTGACATTTCAGTGCAGTTGTAGCACAGCAGTATTTGTACTTGTAATCCACTTGATATAACATGTTTGTAAAATAATTACTAGAAAGTATACTTACCTGGAGGTCCTGTGTGATTTCTACAAGTGCCTTATTTTATAGACCTCGTCACTAGATATTTTAAGAGAAAAAAAAAAAGAAACAGAGGAAGAATATACTGAGGGGAAAAACATAAACAGACAAGCCTGTTTTTGAAGACTGGGTGATAATGCCACTGCCATTTCCTGGGACTGGCTATGTAACCCTGGCGCTACACCACGCAAAAAGACTAAAGGCCCTCTTGGCTCATATTTAACACTTCAATAATGATTGATTTGTTAAATCACTGAAAGAATCCTCATTTGAAAATATTTCACGGGGGAACCATTTAAAGACTTCCAAAGCAAGAACCAATATCATCCCTTATGTAATGACTTGATTATTGATGAAATTCATTGTATTGAGGACCAATAGGCTGGACTGGCTGCTGTGGTTGTGCACTTCCGCCCTCTGCTGGATTCCTTAAGAACTGTTCACGTGTGTCCGGCAAACAGTGGGCTTTGGGAGCCGAAGAGTGGGTCCTAGCCCACTATTATTCTGTGAATTAGAAGTGTTTACATCTATAACGTGATATAAATATCATAGTGAACAAACACGTATCTCTCGTGCTCTGAAATGGTATTTCAACTTCTAAGACGTTTTCACATGTTGCTCAGATGATGAAAGAGAAAATAATTTTATTTCAAGGAAATTAGCATAACCGTCCCCCCACTTAAATCTACAGCAGAAATTTCAGTGTTTATTTTGGCTCTAGTTTTTATTTCAGGCTTTCTTTCTCAACAACATTTTCAACCTAATTTTAAAGTGATAATGATAATGATCACTCATTGCTAATCACTGTTGTTTTAAACCTCTGTAAATTAAGCGATGATGTTCAGAAATACCTTTTGTAACTTGGTAGATGGTGGGCCCATTATTTTTAAACTGACAGATTTTTATTTTTCCATAAATACTTTAATAATTTTCATAAATATGAAACACAAAGCATTTTATGTTCTCCCAGAGGTTACCTTTTATTGAAAGGTCATTCATAGTGAAGTCTTTGATGTGCTACTAAAATTGTCCCATTGATACAATGTGAATTTGGATTTTAGAAATTCTGCCTCCAGGCTGCGGAGATATTAATGTAAAATATTATGCAAAATATGGGATTCTTCTCCAAAACCATGCTAATATAATTATCACCCTGGTTGATGCCCTAGCACATTTGCAGTGGGTGGAAGTTTTCCTTTTTTTGTTAGGGATTATTTTAACCTAGTACTTATACTTTTTCTTCGCTATGTTAGGAAAGTGGCAAAACCACACACACTTATAAAAATAGCAGCATAATAGTTATTGGCATTTCCCTGACAGGTTTATTCTGAGTTATTGTAAGTGACATTCTCGCCTTATTCTTCAAGATAGTTCTGCCAGTAGCAGGCATAATTATTTGCATTTTGCAGATGGAAAAACTGAGGCTGTGTCTATGCTGCAAAGTGGAATGTATAAGTAATGGAATTATCTAGAGAATTCTGACTCATAGTTTCTAGAGTTGAAATATTTGTGCAGCTGAAGCAGGAAACATGTGAGAAGGCTGCTGTTGATAGAATCAGTGCTGTAGTGAAATGCTTCAGCTACTCAAAACCAAGACGACCCACCAACTCCCTCTTTGAGTTATTTCATTATATTGGAAAAATAGAATAAGTAGAACAGGAAAAGTGCTAGCACAAATGCCAGATATTGTCAGAAACCATTATGTTATTTAAGGTTGTCACAAACCTTTGTAAAAGATTTGTTAGTGTTTCATGGAAACTATATCTATGTAGAATCACAGCAAAATTTATGTATCCCATCCAATTCAGCAAACAGTTCTTGAACACATAATATGCTGTGGGTTCCAGAGCTAGTAATGGGACTACAAAGGACTCCAGAATCAGGCAATGGAAAGCGTTAAGGACTACCTGAGGATATGAGCAAAGCTACTTGAGAGTGAAGGAGATAGAGGTGTTGTGTTCAGCCATCAGCATGTGTAGCTGCTGGGTGACAAAAAGGTATGGAGAAAGACAGGCTTTCCAAAGAAGGAGATGTTTGCTTAGTGCTTTGTAAGGAAGATTTTACTAATGGAGAAGAGCATCCCAGGCAGTGGGGACAGCATGGGTTGGGTTGGGAAGAGTATATTTGAGGAATAGCAGATTATCTATGGTAGCTGTAGTATAAAGTACTTAAGCAACTGTATGTGGCGGGGGGATTGGAGTGGGGTGAAAAGGCAGAGACTGGAATCTGACATTGAGTAAGATATCCATCCATATATGGCAAAAGCTATGTGTTTCCAATATTTATATCACTTTTAGGCCACGTAGGGACTGAGGCTCATCAAAGTAATTTGGTTGAGTATTTCAGCCATATCCTGAACTGAAGCCAATGTGATATTTGCAATCCTAGCCCAGCATGGCTGTAGGAGCTGCTGTTGATGGTTTGCAAACCAATGACGCTCACATGCATGACACAGGAAAGCCCTCCAAGAAAGCCCCTCCGCATTGGAATGAAAAAGAATAGCATGGAATTTTTATAGGAATAACTTTGAACCCAGCCATGGTTGACTTTAAAATGAAATCATTTGCAAACTGGGTAGTTTAATAAATTTTAGGAACAAATTGCTCCCGCCACACTCTCACTAATGGCTGAGAACATGCATTCAACTGATTGACCACCTACTGTGTGCCCACAGACCTAGACAGACATGAACCCTACTCTCTTAGAGTGTACAATAGAAGAATAGAGATGGATCTTCCATAAATACCCATATAAATATATAATTACAATTTTTGATGAGTACTTTGAATGAAAAACATAAAGAGTTCAATAAGGTTAAAAGTAGAAAGCTGATTTAAATGGTGTGTGGAGGTAGGTAAAAGAACAATTCAACCATTTTCTAAAGATGTGACATGTACTTTTAGATCTTAAAGATGAAAAGAGTGGGGTAAAGATTATTCTAACCGAGGGGACAACTTGTAGGAAACCCAAAAGTAGGATAAAAGTGACGTGTTCAGTTCAAAGAAACCAAAGGCTAACCTGTCTGGATCATAGTAACGGGATGAGCTGGGCAGATCATCAGAGATGGGACCGTAGGTGGCCTTTATCCTAAAAGCAATGAGAAGGCAATGTGAACCATTTCCAGGAGAGAAGTGAATAGACCTGTATTTGGAAAGGTTTATTCCACCAACAGAGTAGAAAGAAAGGACTAAGTGGGGACAGCAATGGAAGCAGGAAGACCAGTTAGGACGTATTGCACAGCTGAGCCTAGAGATAAGGGTGATCAGGACTTGAGAAGTGGCAGGAGAGATGGACAAACAGACAAACAGAAGATGCATTCTATAAGCAAGATTGCTTTGGCTTATTGGTGAGGTGGGCCAGGGAATTTCATGAGGGAAAGTGATGTCAGGCATACCTTTCAGTTTCAGCTAGAGCTACTACATAGATAGTGATGTCCGCATTTCCTAAGGGGAGAAACGGATTCTGTGGGAAAGATCAATGTTTGGACGTGTTAAATTTGAGACACTATCAAACATCCAAGTTGAAAGGCCAGGTGAGCAGGTAGATAAAAGGACCTGGAGCTCAAAGAGAGATCCGGGCAGGATACATAAATTTGGTAGCCTTGAGGTCATAGACAGTATTTAGATCCTGGGTTGAACTATATCATGGATTGAATTATATGCCAGGAAAAAGTATAGAGTAGATGAGAAAGAACCAGAACTGAGTGCTGAAAAATTCCAGCATATAGAGATATAGTTGTGTGTGTATATGTGTGTGTGTGTGTGTGTGTGTGTGTGTGTGTGTGTGTGTGTGTTCAGAAAATACAAGAAAAAGAGTAATTTGTTATGGACAGAGTGGCCAAGTGGCTAAATGTTACCAAAGCTCAGGAAGTTAGGTAAAGATGTAAGAGCTTCTACTGAATGCAGAAATATGGAGTTCTTTGGTGAAATTAGCAGTTTGAGTGAAGAAGTCAAAATGAAAGCCAAATTGGAGAGAATTGAAGAATAAATGGGAGCAAAGAAGTGAAAATGTATGTCTAAGTAACCTTCAGGAAATTTGATTGAGAAGATTAGAAAGATAGGGCTGGAGAAAGCGTGTCGTGAACAGGATTTTGAGTCATTGTGTGTGTGTGTGTGTGTGTGTGTGTGTGTGTGTGTGTGTGTGTGTTAAGTTGGCTATATTAGCACAGGTTTGCTGAAGAATCCAGTAGTAGCCCAGTTAAATAGCCTCTTTACTTGACTAGTTCATCTTAACCTGATCAAGATATACATCAGGCAAAGAGTCTCCGTCAGGTGTGAACAGTAGAGCCGAGAGAACAAAGACCTACACATCTCAGATTCTTCATCTAGTACCTCAGAAGGCAGTTCTAAACCCTAAGTAGGTACACTTACATTCATTAAAAACTCTGGCACCCCCATGACACCCAATCTTCAGTTATGTAAATCCTTACATTACCTGATTTTCATTCTAACGAACTGAACCAAAAGTAGAATAATTCCTTTCAACACAGTTCCTTTTTCAGTCCTCCACAACAGTACATTAGTATTCATGGTCAGAGTTTTCTAATTCAAGTACATTAATAAGACCACCCAGATGTAAGGCAACTATTCCCAAGGAAGGGCTGAAATCCTCCCTCCATGCCTCCCACCTACCCACTTAGACATCAAGCTGAGATTTCCTAGGAATTTTGCAAAGATTCCTCTCAGGGAGCACCTAATAGCAAGCCATGACTAAAACCCCTAGCCCTGGTCCTTCCTCAGGCCTAGTTCTGCACTATTTTGCCTCTACAGTGTTTAGACCTTATTGCTAGGCACCACTCCTTTATCATAATGAGTCCAGTAGCACAAACTAGATCACACACACATCCAGGTCATTCTTTCACAGTAGCTTCAGCCTCCCTACATGGTAGGGCTTTCAGTAGTAATTAAGATGCACCTGACCTGCAAGCCTTTGATTTGGAGGATCCAGAGTCTTAATTACTGTTTTCATTATCATCTGGTTACTGACACGAAACATTTTACAACCAAACAAGCAAACTTTTAATGCAATAAGGTCGTTGTAATCCAGTGAAGATAAAACCTGACCTGGATTTAGGAATAGAATTCTATTTCTAGCCTTACCCTTGACTCAAAATACACATGACCTTGGAGTAGTTACCATGCCTCAGATTTTTCATCTGTAAAATATCTACTTCCTACCTTGGAGGATTAACTTGATAATGTCTGTAAAGTACTTTGAGGTCTTTAAGGAAGGACACTGCAGCATTATCACTGCTTTCTTATTAGATAGAAAAAATGACTATCACAGTCATTCTTATTAGAAACATGTTGATGTAAATGAATAGAAAGTGTGAAAAAGTAGCCTGAGTGAGCTTTGAATACTATTGGCTTAAAATTAATCAGATATATTTGTGTTAGTATTGAAAATGTGAATGACTCTAAAAGACTGTTACCTAACCCTACTTATTTCTGGTTGTGCTTCAATCTCACTTTGAATGTTAACTCTAAACCGCTAACCTGTTTCTTTCCCTTTATTCACTTTTTCCACCTACCATTGCATGACATGCAGGGTCAGTTTTGTGCATGACACCCGCTACCAGTATTGGTAGGTTTCAACCTTTTTTTATTTGTCTTTTATATTATGTACAATACCTTCACTTGCTTGAAATTTATTTCAGAGATGGTAGAAATGCATTAGGAAATGATAGACCTGAAGGTGTATTTGGCTTTAGAGTTACTATATAGGTTTTAAAAATGTACTTGTATGTTTAAGAAAGTGACCATTTTAATGTGACTAGAACAACCACTGTGTTAGAACAATCACGACAAAACATAAAACCACAAGCACGAGTCTGCTTTTTAATGATATGTATTTTGTTCTATTTATAGTCTATATGGCTTAGCATAAGGGAAAAAAGCTTACTTGATCAGAGAGGCAGGCTAATTTCATCAGTGTTTTAAAGTTTCATAGTGGTGTGCCTTTATCTCCTCTTTGCTGTGTGTTAGAATTATCAGAGTTTCCCAGAAGTATTTTTTTTTAATTATAAATGGATGTATTTTGAAAACAAATATCTGACCTGCCTTTCTTATTATCCTTTTTAATGATAAATGTTGACTTATTTGTGATGATTATTTATACCTTAGCGTTCCCTAGATGTTAACTTTTAATAGTATATCGTTATCCCCATACATTCCAAATACCTTGGTATATAAGTCTGTCTTTAAGACATATGAATTAGTTCCACTTAGAGTAAAGAAAAAGAAACATCGGCAAAATTTGCCTGGCTATTTCACAATAACTGTGTTAGAACTGACATCAAGGCTATGATTTTTGCTCCACTGTTTATTAACCCAAATAAACTACAATCCCCAGTAATTCCAGTTCAAACCAGCAATCCCAAATTGACAAACGAAATTCAATTTAACCACAATAAATTGTAAAAAGTATCCTATCTCAAATTAGGCCTACATTTTGAGCCTTTGATGTTTTAGATTATGATTAAAAATGAATATCATATACTCTTACTTAACTGGACATTACATTTCATATTTTTAGAAGCAACCATTATTATAGACACTGTAGACTCTGAATTGGGAATGACCTATTGTTAGAAGTAAAATGTTTGTAAATACATCAACCAAAGTAATCTGCTTTGGCCTTTCTGGGAATCACTGATTATGTTTTAAAACTTCCTTTAATTGTACTTGTAATAAGCTATTTTCCCTTTTTTATTTCTCTCCCATGCTTCCTTGCTTTGCATTGTGATTGCATGCCATCTGCTGGTTTAACCCATGATGGCTTGCTGCTCTGATATTCACCATGCCAAAATACCACTTCTATTACCATAATGCTACACCCTCCTGTTCATTGCTCCCATGGTTCCCCTCCTGAAAGTACCCATGATGCACAGCGCTACGTCAGCCACTGTCTCTGCAGCAACAACTCCTGCAACAAGTGTCCCCTTCGCAGCAACAGCCACAGCCAATCAGGTTTGCTCCTTTTAAAGCTTTCTTTCACAAATCCCAAACTCTAAATGAGTGCTGATATTTAAAAAAAAAATTCTCGGTGAGAATTTTTTTTTCATGTTTATCCATCAAATTTTATTTTTTTAATTAGTTTATAGCAAGCATTTATGGACAGGTTGCACTTATTTAGAGTTAACATTTACTGCAAATAATGATGTAGCTATGTTTTGTGTTGCACTGTTTGTTTTCGTACCTAATATTGTGTAATTAACCTGACAGGCTTAAATTCCTTTTAGTACAGCATTACGTATCCAGTGGTTTGTGAATTGCCACAGAGAAATTACAAAAGCTTGCCCATGGGTGCTTCGAACCTGGCTAATTTTGATTCAGTTCATTCAGACCCTGTCATCTGTTGTGGAGGAAAACAAAATCTCCTCTTAGAAAAGTCTCCCCTTTTTCTTTAGTATCAAATTTGAGGTCTGAATGATTCTTGTTAACATTTCACCTTGATCATACGTGTTTCCAGACTCACTTGGTTCCCACTTTACAATCTGTTCAGATACTGGCCTAAGAGCCAAACCTAGATGTTAACTTTTAATAGCATATAGGCACTGCGTTCACAAAGGCTGGATATAACTGATTAGGGACGTTTAACTCTGTTGGTTTAATGCATGTGCCGATAAAACCATGGATGTACTATTTCTCAGTGAGGGCCAGTTGGCTGTTTCCCACTTTGTAGTCACAGGCTGACTGTAACCCTAACCCCAGCCAACCAACTTGCAAACGTGCTCCTGGTTTGGAAATGCGCATGAGGATGAGTGAGCATAACTCTTCCCTCGCCTAGAAAAACACTTTATTGCGCATGCCCTCCCTTCATAGAAGAGCAATTTTAGTTTTGTTTTTAGCTTAGTTTTTTTGTTTGTTTGTATTGTTTTGTTTTAGGTAAAATCGACTGTACTGATAAAAGATGAAAAGAGATCTAGGAGTAAGCTGAAGGGACTGTCCGAGATAATGAGAGAAATTGCAAGAAGTTGTATCAGGGCATAAACAGTAGATTCCAAAATGAATGCTGCAGGTAGTAAGGGCTGATTTACACTTCTTTTCATGTTCAAGTGAATAAGCGATCCCAGTGCTTTAGGTCTCATCGCTAAAACGATACGTGTTCATGCGCTTGAATAAAGGAATAAAAGTAAAATCCATGACAGCTCTTACTGTGCCCTCCAAATTGTGATAAAGCAGGCAAGAGTGAGGGAGGAAGGAGAGGCCAAGTGGGCACTCAGAGGCAAATATAAACCATTGGCAATTCTTCATCTCTTTATTCACCGCCTCAAAAATGCCAGCTTACCTCTAAGGAAAACCCAACTCAGCATCAAAATAGATACAACGAAGAACAGCAACTAAGTTTCTTTTTTTTTTTAAGCTGAGCCATCCTGCTACCTATTGGCAGCTTAGCGGCAGCTCAGCTCCGGCAGGGCATCAAACTGCTGTTGCTCAGAGCTCACACTCTTGAGTGAGCTCTTAACCAACTGAGCCACTCGGCTGGCCCCGCAACTAAGTTTCTTATCTGGAAATTTTTTTCTTTTTTTTTTAATGATGGGATGGGAGAAGGGAGAGACAGTTTGCATCCTTCTATTAATTAGGTTCAAAGCACCTCTTTTCACTTGTTCATTCTTAATAGGAAAGTTAGGTATCTGTTTCTTTTATTTGTAAGTGCTGCCTTCTCAAACCATGTTTTTGTGATTTTTGACAGAATTTTTGTTACAAAGTCCCTTCATAAGAAAACAAGTTTCAAGTATAATTGAGTAGTATTTATTACAATGGAATTTTACCAATACTTTAATGGCAAGTTAAGCATATCTAATACAGAGAGATCTTTCCTAGGAGTGGAAAGGAAGTCAAGATATGGAAATGCTTTGGAAGTTTAGGATAAATCCCTTTAATATGATAAAAACTTGATCATGAATCATAAATATTTTTCCACCCTAGTAATTTTTTGGCTCTGTTTGGTAGAAAAAACTTGGAGAAATTGCACAAATGTATGTAGGTTTATGTATGTGTGTAGGGAGGCAGAGGTAGAAAGTATGAAATATTGAGAAGCTGAAATACATCACTTTACAGTACAGTGTGATTAGTAAAGGAACTAATAAGTTTAACTTCAATTAAATCCAAATAAATATAATTAAAAGTAATTGACAGTAGCTTCAAGAATCCTCGATTCTGCGTTCTGAGGTTTGTCAATGTAATAGTTGCCAGATTACACTTCAGTGATGAAGAAGGGAAATCCTTTAGCAGTTCTTGATGAAGGTCTGCTTGCACATGAAAAGCAGAGACAAAGAAATAGTAATAAACATAAATTTTCAGATATGATATTCTTTATGTAATTTCTGCAAGTTTCAAAGAGTCAGGCAGCAACCAAAGAACATGCAAATTCTCTTACTGCCCAAGAATTCATAATTCAGAGATTGTTGATGACTCTGAAATGACATCATCATCTTAAGATTTCATCCTTGGAGTTGGAATGCCAGACCGGAATTCCTAAACTCAAATTGAATCACAGCCTTGTGAATTATGTGTCATTTAAATGTAATGAATCTCAGTCAGCTTCCTCATTTGTGAACAGAAGACTAGAATTAGGTCACCTCTGAAACCCCTTCTAGCTCTAAGATTCAACAAACCTATGGTTCCTTAGATGTTATGCTAGGCCCAAAGTGTGACATTATAAAGATAAACACAAACAGACTGGAAAGTGGTGCTGATTTCAGATTTCAGTGAATGATAAGCATCCTACCTTCTTTTCCCTCATTGCGAGACCTGTCTTTAATGCAAAATGTGATAGGGTTTTGACAGTTTTTCAGTTCATTTGATCAATTTAGACTGTCAGTTCAAATAGTTCAAACCTCATAGGTATTTGTAATTAGATGCAAGTCATTCATAGAAGAAAGAAGATAGACCAAAACATCCCATGACAGATCTTCCAGCTCAGTGTTTCTTTACATGTTACCCCCTGGTGAGCCAAGATGAACAAGCAACAAATTATAAATTCTATTTCTCAGGGTTTTGTCAAAGTGCCAGCAATGAAAGTTTTAATTGACTTAGACTTGTAGTTTGAAATTATGTGAACACAAAATCCAAATACTTTGGGGAAATATAAAATAATTTTTTGGTTGTTTAGCTCTGGGAGTAGATATGTAAACAAAAATACAATGAACAAATTTACTAATAGCTATTTCCTGTTTCAATTAAGGTATTTGGGCTCTCATAAACAAATTATACCTAACATTGTTATTATTATTATTATTATTATTATTATTATTATTATTTACAAACTATTATGTACAAGATATTATTCTAAATGGTTTCTTTCTCATATATTATGCATTATATGTCATGGAAAGAGGATATATATGTATAGATACAACAGTCTTATAAGTAGTGTTACCTAAAAAAGAATTAGTCATTCCTCTTAGTGAAGCCAAGTTCACTGGCTTCTTTTGTTTAAATCATTGTGCTAGACTTTACTCCTAGCCCCTGCCAATAATCTCACAAATAGCTTGGTAACAAGGGATATCAGAATTGAAAATAAGAATACCATATAAATCAGCCAGTTTAAGCCTACTAACAGATGGTCAGAATGTATAAATCTATAGATTGCCTTTAATGAAACAAATTTAATCTCAGAGTATACATTAACAGAGGTAAAGGTTAACAGCTTAATATATGGATTATCTAGTGTTTTTATAAGAAATTTTATTTAATAAAAGAGGTTGTAGATTGGAATTCCTATAACTTCAATTATTATAGTACTCTATGCTGTCATTGCTCTATTATTTTTTATTTCAAAACTAAATTATATTTCAAAAGGGGAGAAAATAATTTCCAAATAAATATATTTTAAGTCTTAGTTTCTTCATCTATGAGTATATACAAAGATTATTCAATTTACCTAATAACATCCTTTAAAGCCTAATTAAAATACAATTTATATTCTAAGTCTTTCCCTGAACACCGCAGCTAGAAGTGCTTTTTCTCTCCTCTGAATTCCACAAGGACTTTATCTGCACATCCCTTAAAGCATCATCACTAGCTAGAAAGAATGAGAAGCACAAATGGACAAAGGTGGGAAAGTGTCAAGGTGAGCAGACAAAAACTAACAATAGATCAGTTAGAGCTTCAGTTTGCAGGAGCAGCTACAACGCAGGTTTGATTCCAACCTTAAATGCCAGGTTAAAGGCTTTGGCCCTTAGTTGGCCACTCAAGGGTTTTTAAGCAGGGTAGGCCTCTAGGAAGAGTGAGCAGATGGGTTCCAGGTGGGAGAGTCTGCTGAGACCATTGAGAGTTTTTAGCAGGAGCCTAAACTGGGACTGTGGCAGCTGGCACATGGCCTACTTTGTCTTGCCTTTGCCCATGACTTAGGGAGATTTACTTTTAGCCGAAGAGAAACATAAAAACTATTTCATACTATAGCAAAATCTATCCAAACAAATGTCATATGGCACAAAAAGAAATCTGGGCTGACATGAAAGGTTAACCACAGGAGGCTGCCCCTGGAGAACCTGAACTGAATCCCTTCAAGGACAGCAGTTGGGTAGACTCAGAAGTCAGCTGCCTCCCGTGTGCCTACCTCTAACACGTGGCTTCCCACTTCCGACCCAGATGAGGCTTCAGAGCCACAGATGCTCAAAGACCTCCCAGGCCTTTGCTCAAAAGAAAGAGTCCCTTCAGATTCGGAGTAAATACAGATTGCCTGTGTTTCCACAGTTAAAGCTATGTGGACAGTAAGGCAATTATTCATCTAATTCATTCTGGGTCATGAGTGATGCTGGGAAGAGAAGGTCTTACCCATTGGATACCAGGAATTTCTCTGTGGAGCTCTGCAGCACTACCTTGAAAGCTGGTAAAATCAAATTATATTTCTGGAAATATGTTAACCAACAATCACAGCTCCAAAAGTTATGATTGATCTTTATAGTTATAACCTCATTGTCACATCTTGTGAACTCGCCCCCAAAGATTGTAACAGAATC